ATCAGCTGCTTCCTGCACACCCCTACTGGGGATGTGCCTGCAACCAAGGTACATGCCCTTGACTGGACTTGAACCTGGGACCCTTCAGTCCCCAGGCCGATGCTCTATCCAGTGAGCCAAACCGGCTAGAGCATTGATCTATGCTCTTAAGTTGCCAACACAAGTTGCGTGCAGGTATACTCTGAATTTCTGGTCAGAGGAGTAGACAGGATAAAAGTGAGTTTTCATGAAACCATTTCCTATTGTAGCCTGCAATACAAACTCACTTCATATTTACTATATCCCCTATAAAGACCACAGATTTAATTAGTGTTTTCTGCTATAGAAATATTTAGACAGCCCTAGTCAGACTAAATACTTGGGCTCAGTGGATAGAGTGTTGGCCCGAGGACTGAAGGGTCCCTGGTTTGATTCTGGTCAAGGGCTCGTAACTCAGTTGCAGGCTCCATCCCAGGCCCCGGTCAGGGCACGTGCAGGAGGCAACCAATTGATGTATTTCTCTCACATTGATATTTCTCTCTGTTTTTCCCTCTCTAAAAATCAATGGGAAAATATCCTTAGGTGAGGAAAATATCCTTGGGTGAGGATTGACAAAAAAGAAAAAGAAAAAAAAGAAATATTTAGACATTTCCAGTTGGGAGTAAATGTTAGTAAGTAAAAATACCCAAGTGTAAAATATACTCTGCCACCAGAGGAAAAATAAAATATTCTCCCTTGCTCTATGAGCTCAAGGCTTGGCGAATACATCCTGTGAAGCGAAGGAGTCCAAGAGTTATGGTTCCTGGCAGATCACTTTTCATTACACAGAGGGCGACTGTTACTCAGATACTTACTTATCTACAAGAGTCCGTATGACTGCCAGTGTGTCCAGCACTAACCCATCTACGTTTTGTTTCTTTCTCCGTGGTTCATGTGGTCCTCGGCCCCTCCTTGGTGGCCGAACAGGATCCCGGGGTTGGTTCCTTATGTCAACAGTGGGTACTGCATTGTTCTCGGCCTGTTGCTGCTGGGTGTCAACACTATCTTCTGCTCCACTGTCATCCCGGCAGATGCAGGAGTTCCCCATGGCAGCAGCAGCACCTTCAGTCCCCAGGAGGTGGGCTATGTGTTCCTCAAGAGTCAACAGCAGACCCTGGCCAAGGCTTCTGCTTGCTAAGAACACGGCCCAACCAAAGACAATCATTTAGATAGTTTTCAGTTTTCCAAGTATTGTTTTCATAATCCGGGGTTGAGACACTTGCATCCTATCTGTTTTTAACAACTGAACGCTGAAGAAAGTTGCAGAGTTGATCTCCAACATTCTCAATTACAGGGAATCCTGGTCATCCAGCAGCAGTTCTAAAAGAAAAAGAAAAAAACAAAAGGAAAATGAACCAAAGGTTTGTGGCTATTCAATGACTCAAACTTTTCTAGTTTGATTTCATAGACAGTGGGATTGCAATGAAGAATCGTCTTTGGTTATTTTTGTAGGTTTCTGACTCAAAGAGGTATCTCTGCATGAGAGAATGAACAATCAATCATTGTTATCATTACATTATAAAATTGATTGCTAAACCATATCCTTGTAAACCATAGGAGTTACCATTGATTTTTTTTAAAAAGTATGTGTGGTTCTATATATAGAACTACATTAGAAAAATGTGTACAGTTGTTCAAGGGTTCCTTTCTTGGATAAAAAATCAATTGCCTCCTTTCTTACTTTACATGTATGAGAAAATTTAATGTTTCAAATAAAATATCTAATTACAGAGGCTTGTTGTTAAAAAGTATGATAAAATTGTGATAGCACCCGTTTGATATCAAGAAGAATGAAAGGATAGGGCGTTCCACTTAAGTTACCCAAACTACAGTGGTTTCCCATAGAGGCTCTCTTGAGAATTTACAGGAATCGTACAAGTAGTTACAAAGTTTTTCTGTTATCTAAGCCAGATTTTGTTTGGGGAAAGGCAGACGCAACAAGGTTGCATTTTCACAATGATCTGTTTGTTGTACGACATAGCTGCTACACAGTTAAGAATAAGGATGCACCATCTGTTTTTGAAAATACTGACCAAGCACCTGGGTCAGGCACCATGCTGGCCCTGGGAGAACAAGGCACGGTCCCTGTCCTCCAAAAATTCGTGGCTGGCCATTCTCATCCCACACAGTATGTTTATCACTGAAAACCTAAGGATAGAACTAGCTCTTCATTAAACTGAAAAACCTGGTTAGGTCTAGAAAGAAAGATTTAGAAGCAGGAGACTGACATGGGGCTGGTAGCAAAAAGTAAAAAGTCATGCCGAGACCTGGAAACTAGGACCCATTAAGATTCAAATGGACACAGAAAACACTAAACATTTGCTTTATTTACAATTAAGTCCTCTGATATAGAGCAATGGCTCAGGAATAAATATAAATTAAATGTATAATTCGGTGGGATTAGAAACAAGAGAAAAATTACTTCCATTATTTGAACAGATTTGCAACGAATTATTTTAAACATTTGTCCAGTTTAATTATTGCTCATAAGTGGGAGTGGGGCTTGAAGAAAGAGACAGATAAGACGGAATAGAAAGTATGTGTGTACTAGGTGTACCAGTTAATAATGCTGATTTTTTTCAATAGATGGAATTACACATATGTTGATATATATGCGATTTGATATGTATGCTATTTTGTTGTATTGCTCCTTCTGATTACCACTTGTTTCGATGGATGGCACACGCACTTTCTGAGCAGCACTTCAAAACCGTACGAAGAAGTGGAAAACTGGGTCTCTGAATGGTCTGCCTCAAAACAAGAAAAGTTCTATTGGGATGGTATCCACAAATTACCTGGAAGATGGGGGAAATGTGTAGCTAGCGATAGACATTACTTTGAATAAAGCACTTTTGATGATTATCGAGTTTTCTTTGATTACAAAATCCGAATTATTACGGTTAATAATGCGGATTAACCATTAACTGGTTAAAAATTCGGATTAATCATTAACCGGTTAATAGTGCGGATTAACAATCAACCGGTTAAAAATTCGGATTTTGTAATCCAAAGAAAATGTCAACTCTTGTAAAGCTATTCGGAATAAGTAAAAAAAAGTATTGGGAGTGCTTGTGAGGAAAGCAGTAAGTTAAAAAGTTGTCGGATCACAAATTTTTAAATTTTATTCTATCCAAAACTTTTTCGCTAAGGCTTATATGAACTGAATGTAGAATAATTAATCTATGCAGCTCTCCATTTAGTATAGTCTCAAAGTAAGTGGAAGATATCCAATACATACAAACAGGCATTTTTCAAAATATGACTAAATTAGGAGGTGAGAAGACAAGAACTGTGGGTTTTGTTTTTTTTCCTATTTCCAAATTGAACTCAAGTGTAGCTTGGGTCAATTTCTTCTAAGTCACTTTCCTTATTTAACCCAGAAAATGATGTCAACTACCAAATTTGTCAGAGAAGAAAAATGAGTAAAAAAAAAAAAAAGTTTTCAAATATTTCAGAACCAAAGACTTTCTTTTTTAAGAACGAGCTGTAGAGACCCGGTGTAAAGAAGAGATGAAATAGGTGGGAGAAGCTGTGAGGCATTTCAAAGGTAAGGCTATAAAACATAAAGGAAAAAATATGAGCTATTATCTTTTGAAACGTTCTGAAATGAGCATATACCAAGTGCTTTTGAAGTTACAGCCAAAGGCAGGGCACATAAATAAGCAGAGTGCGTGAGCTTTCCGATTTATGCAGCACTAAAAACCTATAGCTCTTCCTCTGGAAAAGGCTGTCACTCCTGATACTTTTCTCAGAGAACAAACTGTGAATAAATACTTCAGGCAAAAGCCTGGGCCGTGAACTTAAACAATTACTCTGTAGAGAGCTTTATCTCATTCCAAAAGCATTATGTGGGCCATTGTTCTAAGACAGTAACACTCAGGCTCCAGAGCTGGTACAGGATGCCAGAGGCCACCGACAGCACAGGGGAGGGGCTTTGCAGTCAGAAAGATTGGGCACAGGGCCCGGCCTGCAATGTTGACAGCTAAGCATTCTAATTACCCTCACTATAGACACACTTTACAACAGGGAGAGAGTAATACTTCTTACACTTCACAGTGCTACTGTGAGGATTAAATCAAACAGTGCTTGTAAAACAAATGGCACAGTGCCTATATTTAAAGAATCCCCAAATGCAAGATGTTCTTAGAAAATGAGACCTAGCTAATCAGAGATAACAAAATAATCTGGGAGGTGGGACTCTGGAGTAAGACTTAAGAGCACTAAGATAGCCCTAACTGGTTTGGCTCAGTGGATAGAGTGTCGGCCTGCAGACTGAAGGGTCCCAGATTCGATTCCAGTCAAGGGCATGTACCTTGGTTGCGGGCACATCCGCAGTGGGGAGTGTGCAGGAGGCAGCTGATCGATGTTTCTCTCTCATTGATGTTTCTAACTCTCTATCCCTTTCCCTTCCTCTCTCTAAAAAATCAATAAAATATATTTTTTAAAAAAGAGCACTAAGATAACTAAATAGTTTATCTTTTCTAGAACTCATCTACCTTGTACTAAAATAACCTTTACTTAGCTATACTTCTAGACTACACCTGAAAAGAGATTGTAGCTTAATCATCCCAAAGGTGATGAGCATTCAAAGCCCTTAGGTACTTCTTTTCAAACTCCTGGTTCCACTCCAAATAGCCAGTCAGAATTTCTAGGATGTGGTCCAACCAAGCAAGTGCTTTCTTAAAAGCTCCCCTGGTGATGTCCGGCCAGTGTAGCTCACCTGTTGAACATGGAACCAAGAGGCTGCCAGTTCGATTCCCGGTCAGAGCACATGCCCAGATTGTGGGCTCGATCCCCTATGGGGGGCGTGCAGGAGGCAGCTGATAGATGATGTTTCTATCTCTCTTTCCCTCTCCCTTCATTTCTCTCTAAAAAAATCAATAAAAACATATTAAAAAAAAAAAAAAAAAAAAGAAGCTCCCCAGGTGATTCTGTTGGGACCAGGTCTGGAAATCACTGCATATAGAACCTAACAAAGAATTGGCAGGACCTACTACTGACTGGATGATGGGACAAACTGAAACACGAATGGGTGATTCTTCTGGGTTCAGAAAAGTTAACCTCCTTTCCAGGAAAATGAATTGTGACTATCTTTGGAGTGGTCAGCCAAAATACCCACTAGAACAAAGTTACCTCCATTAGTCATTATGTACAATGCACAGCAACACAATGAGTAAAACAGCTCCCCATATGTCTCACCAGATCTACCCTATGGAGCAGGGGTCCTCAAACTTTTTAAACAGGGGGCCAGTTCACTGTCCCTCAGACCGTTGGAGGGCCGGACTATAGTTTTAAAAAAAACTATGGCCCTGACCGGTTTGGCTCAGTG